GTTAAGCGATGTTTCTCCATAGCGCCGCCATTTTCGCGCCCTCGGTAAGCGAGGGCAGGGCGCGAAAATGCGGCGCGGACCTTCCGGCGGCCATTTTGGAACCGCCGATCAGCTGTTCTCCCCCGCTTCGTTCTGCGAAGATCGCTAAGTGAATCACTTAGCGATCATCACAAAGCGAAAAATCGCCATAGGGGGCATCGCTGAGCGAACGCTCCAGTGATGGCCCGGCCCCCCTCGCTATGCGAATTCATCACATAGCGAAGCATTCGCTAAGCGAGGCACCACTGTAATTGATTCAGCAACCTTATTAAGGGTTTAATTTGAGCCCTTGGTTGTGTTAACTTACGCTTTTCCTCTTTTCACGCTGTCCAAAAGAGCTGCCTGGGGAGGTGGGCATTCCAATTCATCAAACATCTTTGCATCTTTGGGTCATATAAAACACCTGCTCCACGACAAAGCTGAGCATTTATAGCAGTTGATCCCAGAGCTAAGCAACAGCACCGAACTGGATATTGGCCCTAAACACAGCTGACTGGAGAATACATTAAATTTGAGGAATGCACTGTTTATGTACTCAGGGCAAATTAAATTCTAAATCTCGGATCCTGGATTTCCTCACTAGAGCTCCCCATTGCTCCCCTCTAACCCAGAGATATCATCTCCTCAAATCAGTGCTATATGTAACTACAGAGTGATCAAGGACACATTGTTGGTTTGGTTTATAGCTCCCCTGGCTTAATTTGGGTAAGCTGAGCCTTTCATACAATGCACAACGAGTAATACTGATGCAAATTATCAGACTCTGCCCTAATTTCTGGGGTTACTCTAGCCTTGTTTTACAGGAAAGCATTGACTGGAGCTGGACTGTGCTTCCTAACATCACTCACAATGCTGCACACTCATCTCTTGTGTCCCCGTGTACTTTGCATGGACATTCACAAAGTACTGTATGTGTCAGATACTTATTTGCTTGTGTGCAGATAATCATTGTCCATGCTCAATATATGAACAACACAGGTGGGAGTATTAAGGCACAGGATGCTATGGATATGACCAAAATACTCCGTTGCACCCTATAAGTCTGCATGTTAGCTTCTTCTTCTTCTTCTTCTTCTTCTTCTTCTTCTTCATCATCATCATCCTGGGACTGTACAGCTTGCCCAAGGCTACCCAGGTGGGGCAGGATTAATGGGTGCTAAAGTTTAAGAGATCTGGCATGCCAAATGTTCCTCATTTCTATCTTGAAGGGGATGTGTGTGTGAGTGGGTGCAATAGTTTAGAAAAACACTCATCTTGGCCCGCATGTTCAGCTGGAAAGGTATCCAACTCATTGCACCAATCTAGAATTACGTTGCTTTATTGTACTGCCTTTGGTACAATTTGTACCTCACTTAAGGCAGTACGAGGACAATATTTTATTCTGTGGTGGTTGTTTTAAAATTCACTTCACGGTTTTATGTAGTGCGAAAGCGATTGTGCCTTGAATTATATTTCTGTGGCATCGATGTTACTGTTGCTAGCTATCTCAGATTTGTTATGGCCGTAGAAGAGCAAGACAGAAGTTTTTTCAATAAATAAAGCATACTGTCTTATGCTCCTGCCATTGAACAAAGCAAGACACAGTGAGATAAAGAAGCCTAGTGTTGTGCTGTCAATAAATCTCCTCTATTAATAAAGAACATGGTCCATCTGCCCACTGTCTGCAACATGTTAGGAAGTGATGGACACACACACATATCCTGACTACAGTCCAGTCAGTGGGGTGATATCCTCTTATATTCTTTTTTTTAATAGCAAGGAGAACAGGCCGGTGGATAGCTCAGTGGTTTAGGTCTCTGACTTCGGAGCCAAAGGTTGGGAGGTCAACTCCCCACTGTGCCTTCCGAAAGGAAAACCAGCCTGGGTGGCCTTGGGCAAGCTGTACAGTCCCAGGGTGCCCCCTAGAGGAAGGGAATGGCAAATCACTTCTACCTGGGAAACCATGAAAAGGGTCACTATAAGTTAGGGCTGACTTGATGGAAGAACAGGATAACAAGACACACACCCCACACAATCATGTGGTGAAGCATTTGAAGGGCAATGTATTTGAAGGGCTACTAGGGAAAATCCCCATCTGGATGCTGCTCTACAGATAGGAGAAGGTCCATAATGCAGACATGGAGAATCAAGGTGCATCTAGACAGCCAACGAACTCCAAGAATAAATACATCTCAGGAAGCCCAGTAGGACATTCCTGTTCGGGCTGGCAGCTGAGAGTCAGGCTGAAGGATGGAATTTTTGGATTTCTTAAATCACAAATCCCTCAATTCTCAGTTCTAAAAGTTCTACCTAACAGACAGCCATCTCACAAGACACGTACGTGTGGCTTGCCTGAGATAACGGCCAGTAAACCTTTGAGGCTTCGCTTGGCCGAGCTCCACCTAGTTTCCCGTTCAGAAAGAAAGCTCCCAGCTACCACTGGGGTAGAAATAGGAAGTTTCGGCAGCGTCTGTCCATAAGGTGTCTACCTGTCAGAGAGAACTCTAAGAATGGAGAATTATGGGACTTGTAGTCTTAAGAAATCTGAAAATCCCACTGCTAATCAGACATACGCAGAAACAAGAAAATAAGTAGGGGAAGTCTTCATGCACTGGGTTTTCTGCTTTTATTGGGATTCTTTTCCCGCTCCACTATCCTCAATGCAAAAGAAACCTTTAACAACTCAACCTATTCCACACAAAAGTAACAAAGCAGACAGACAGAAAGAAGCCTCTGTCTTGGGAAGCACACACGTCTTTCCTTCAGCCTTTAGAATCTCCACCTAGACCCAGACTTCATTTTATGTTTTAATCAGAAGCATCATGCTATCCCTCAGGAGAACCAGAAGCCGGCTTTGAAAATGAACGAGGAGGAACAAGGAGGATTTTTCTCCCCCCAAAGGAACCGGAAGCTACCTTTGCTTGTCCTTCTCGAAGCCCAGCTGCTTCTGTGCAAGTTTCCAGATGTCAAAGCACTTGCATGCCTTCCTCCCCAACGCTGCTTCTAACCCCCGGGATCTCCATCTATTGTGACAAATAGCCACTGGCTGAACATTACTGACAGACCTATATGCCCCTTGACTCCCAGTTTCTAAGGCTTCGTGAATGCCTCGCGTGGATTCCTCTGTGCCTCTCAACAAGGCAAAGATCAGAGCGCGTCATGTCTGTGACACCTCCTAAGCTAGATCAAACATGGACGTCTTGGTTCACAGCACTCTGCTCCGCAGATTTCTTGGTGTGGGTCCTTTGATCCCTCTTAACCATCTGCTTCCATCTTGCTGCGTTATGATATTAGTTTATGTCTGTGTCCATGGAGGGGCTAGAATCAATGGCAACGTACTGCTCATTTGCTCTGTTTTTCTCTGCTAATGAATATCAGCAGCACTCATGCAAATCGAAATATGTTCAGATTGTGGCCTGTTTCGTGTGTTACGGGGTTAGCATTTACAGTTGCTTTCTTGTACTTGCAAGGTCTGAAAATGTTGGGTTTTTCTGTTTTGAGCAAAATGTTTTTAAAAGGGTTTCTTATCGCCTTTGGCTGGATATGGTTTGAGGCTTCTGTGACCCACCTGTCAGATTTCCTAACAAGGGAGAAGCTTCCTAACCATGCACAGGGACCTCTCTAGATCTTGATGTTCATGCTGGGAAGTGTTTCAAGAAGACAACCTGTATAGCCAGGGATGCTGAAGGTGGGCCTGTATGCACCTGTCTCCAGACAGTCTCACACTTTTTAGGACTGAACAATCCTGCATTGGACTGGCCTCCACCCCATATTGTGGGGGGACAGTTCTCCCCAGCATGTAATTCCATTGCACACAAGAGGGTACATAATACATAATAAATAAAAAGAGAAATAAAGAGCTTGTCATGAGCTGGACCTGAAAGTTCAAATCAAGCCAGAGGGGCCTGACAAAAAAACAGAGACAAATCACTTTTCCACTTTCATATTTTGGGAGAAGGATTGTTTTTTTAAGGTTCGGATGCAGAGTTGCTGGCAATTCTCACAGGTTTGCATTCCCTGTTCAAAGAACGCAAAAGTAGGAAAGAATCCTTGCAATTTTCCAAAAATAATAATAATTTTTTTTCAAAAGTAAGAGGGTGGAATTTCAGTAGATTACATTGCGCTGACTTCCTGTCATTTTATAATTTCTCACAAAGCCTCTGGATGAAGCTCTGTTATGAGACAACATCATTCCAAGCAGCATCTTGGGGCGGAGGGGGGAGATTTCTTTTAATGCAAGCCATTGTGCTGGACCACATTATGTGTTTTTTTTTGGGGGGGGGAATTAAAATGGCACCAAGAAGACGATCTAGTAGCATAAAGGGAGCATGGCTGTCCTAGCCCTGAAGACCTGCTCCTCCATCTACCTACATGAAATAACAAAGATGGAAGATGGTTTTACCTGCATGTTTGGACCTTCAGCATTTAAAATTTTAATTCAGCACTCAGGTTTCTGGCCATTTGTGAGACAAGCACAGGGGGCTCCTTTATCACATAATTCATTACATGGAATAATTTGGGGCTCTGAACATTGAATATGCATCCAGGGGAGAAAATACATGTGCTCACCGAGGGATTTTTGTTGCAAAACCCAGCTAGAACTGGTGTTGTTAATATGAGCAGAGAAAGGACTGTCTCATTGAGTTCTAAGAATATGGTAAGAACACAAACCTTTGGCTTTCTTCCCACCAAAGCAGCCGGCGTCGTCTTTCCGCTTCTTCTGGGTCCCCCCAAGGCCTCCGGACTGGTTGGCTTCGAAGTCCTGGTATTTGTCAGCTCCGGGGACCTCTTTGTGGACGTGGTAGGAGAGATTCCTCATGATGCATACACAGTTCTCGACAGACTGGGACAAGGCAATTACAGAAAAGAAAAAGAAAAATCAAAAAGGAAAAGAGCAATCGCAACCTGGAGTCATTTATCTTATTATGCAATGCAAGAAATAAACAAAAGCATACTGTACGTTTTCTTAAACCCAGAGTTTTGGAAATTAAAAGTGTTGTGGTCATAGAGCCCAGAAGCCATTGATCAAGCCGGCTTGGATTGCTGGGGAGTGTTCATGCTCTGCTTAAACGTGGTCAAATGATTTCCCCATCTAACCTGCTATGGGGCAGCTCCAGACCTCAAGCAGCGAAGGGCGTTCCCATCTTCAGATGTTCAGGACCTTGGGGAGCACCAGTAAAATTCAGAGCAGAATCTACACCTTCTGCATGAAAGGTAGACATGCCCTGCCAGAGATGCAATATTTCTCTGTCTTGATAGGTGGGACACAAGGATTGTGGCCACAACTTGGCTGGATCCACATGGGGTCCATGATTATACCGGAGAAAGCTAGTGACTCCCGTTTCGTAGGGCTAGCATGTCCGTTCCAGATTTTATTCCAAACTGTATGGCAGCTCTCCAAGGTGCTGAGAAATTTGGGAGCCAGGATTTAGCTCGCCGGATATCTCCTGTGAAAGTCATACTAAAATCCAGAACAGATCCCAGGAAAGAAGAGTCATGATCAGCCTCCAACAGGGTCCCACCTGGGAACTGGGATCCGTGGGCTAAGAAACAGTGGGATTAAATTATTCACCTGGTCATCTTTTGGAATCTAGGGATGTAAGAAGGTTGGAATCTTTGTATACCTGTACCAAGAGCCTCCATTAATAATGACAAATGCTCTCAGGTTCTCGAGTTGAAATCCATTTTTTTTGGTCCTTTGAGATACGCACTTCCTCCCCTCAATAAACAAAACCATAGCAAAGAAAGTATGCTTCTTCTTTTCCATCCTTTGCTCTAATTCACTGACAGAAAACAAATTTTGTATGCATGCGCCTCCCCCCCCCGGGGTTCAATTTCAAGCTAATGAGTCCCAGGTGGCACAACGGCCACTGCCGGGGGCCATGGAACAGAATAATTTGTCAGGACGTTTGTCAGGAGACCGGAAAACAATGAAAAAAATCCACATGGGAGGATGGCCAGAAGAGCAGAGCTTTAAAAAGTTAAAGAAGAATGAACACAATGGAACACAGAAGCTGCCCATAGCTAAGCAGTAGTGGCATAGCGCTCTGCCAGTAGTAGGATACCAGTCCCAGACCCTGGATGGCTTCCACTGGTCATTAAGATTTATTTATTGGCTTTAGAAGTGGACTGGGAGCGTAGGAGAAAGCAGCAAGCCCCTTCACAGGGGCTGAGTCCTGCTCCTTGATCAGACCAGATGCAACAGCTAAAGGAAGGGCTTGACGCTTAGATCACATGGCTCATGCAAAATTTTCAGGCCAAGCTAGGAAAAATCACCCTACAGGTTTTTATGTGTATAAAGCTCTCTGAATCTCCAGATTCAGATGGCAGTCATATCGGAAGAGTTTACGGTGGCAGAGGTACAGTGGACCCTTGACTTAAGGAAATAATCCATATTGGAATGGGTGGCTGCAGGTCAAAAAGTCTGTAAGTCGAGTCTCCATTGACCTACAGTGCATTGAAAACCGATTAATCCCATAATAGGACGTTTTTGTTCCATTTTGGTTTTTTTCTGGTCTGTAAGTCAATTCTCAGGTTGCAAGTCAAACCTAAATTTTGCGGCCAGAGAAGTCTGTAACTCAAAAAGTCTGTAAGTCAAGCCGTCTGTAAGTCAAGGGTCCACTGTACATGGACTGCACTTGAAAAATATTTTCTTTAATGGTAATTTCCTGAGTCTAGCCATGCCTGGACCTCCCCCCCTCTTGCTTTTCCAACACACACAAATCCTCAGCTTTCCATAAAAAACAAGACCTTGGTTTTCCCATCATCATCATCATCATCATCATCATCATCATCATCATCATCATCATCATTATTATTATT